ACGATACAATGTTTCCTCCCTGCTACGTTTTCTTAAACTAACATGTCAATGGACAGCAGCAGAAACTGAGATTTGAAGACCTGCACAGCCGTAAAGAAAAGGAACAAGCGACATGTTTCTTCTGAGTACGTTCAACTAAGGTGCTTTTTTTTTCGTCTATATAACTTTTAACAAATTTTGTTTGTCTATCGTTTGAAAATGAGATGCAATAAATATCAGATTATTTTAAAAATGTTTAAAAAGCGTGTTATTGTAATTTACTGTTTTAAATTTGAATAAGGGTGATGGACCTGATGGAAATGTTGTCAGCAGATGGCGTGAAATTCTTTATTATGTAAATTGGTGTTTTAATAACTGTATAAATAGGTGTTATTTTTGCAAAACATCACACTCCTGAGGATGACGCAAGATATATGGCGAAACATGTAGAGTGTATGAGATTGTTATCCAGTCACGTCGGGGGGGTTTTACCACTTTTTATCCGTGTACAGTAAGTTACTACTTTAATAATTTGGAGACTGGAAACAATCTCATTTCGTTGAATTGTGTATAAAATAATCGTTGTTTTTAAATACAACTTTTTAGTTTTCAAAATTGAACATTACACACGTGCCAAAAAACATCTTAAGAAAATAGAATATGCTTGTTCAGCCTGGATTAATGTTGCACTTACTAAAACTTAACAACGAAATGTAATACTCACTAGGGCATATAAAGTTCCGTTCAACAAATTCACACTTCCTACATAAATACGCAAACTTACAACCACTCCATGACAGACTTCTAAGCAGATCATTCACCTATTTCAAGAAAAATCTACATAAAAACGAAATGTTACGCTCACTAGATCGCTATATCATTCATGATGGAAATGGGCCTAAGTACCTCTCACCCATAAATATGTACTATAAGTTTAGTAATGTGCCACCTGTTGCTGGACCTACCTAAAATACCATTATATAGTTTATAATATAGTGTATTAAAAGGGTATTTATGTAAGTACACATATAATAAGCCACATTATGAATGACAGAGCAAGACA